GGAAGAAAGAAGTTACTGAAAGGAAGTTCTAGGTGTCTGTGTTTGATAATATGTTGCAATGTTAAAAATGTTCTAGGTACCTGTGTTTGACAACATGTGGGTCAATTAGTAAGTTTTGGATATTTGTGTTTGATTAGTTATTGGAGTTTTGAAGAAATTCTAGGTAATTGTGATTGATTAACTAGAGAGACTTATAACAATATTAATTTTATTTATAATTTTTTAGTTTTTCCTCTTTAGGGACAAAACATTAATTGAAGCTAAACTATATTATATCAAGAGAGAGAGAGAGAGAGTTTGATCGATAGAGAAGCCTTAGATTTCTGGTGGGGGATAATGGGTCAGAGAGAGAGAGAGAGAAATTTGGTAGCAGTGAGATATGAAGAAAATAACCTAAATTGTAAAAGATGGGTCTAGAATGTTGCATGATAAACTTCAATGTCCTTTAAAATCCAAGCACTCCTTGGACAATGTTAACCACAACCTGAATTAAGGATAAAAAACTAGATCTTAGAGGTTCTCGAGATGTTCTTTTACGATGTAATTATGAAAATGAAAAAGACAAGTACAATAATAAGAACATTAGTTACACATAGAAAATAAAAAATATGCCTCAAGTGTCCCAGGTTAATAATGTCGGAATGTTGGACTGGTATTAGTTCTTAAATTTGTAGGTCGTGTTCATGTGATTCTTGTGGGCGATTCTATTGTGGTGCATTTCGATGCCTCAAATTTGCGATGCAATTGACATTTTCTATATACTCTCACACCATTAAAAGAATTTTCACTTTCCTTCCTGATATGTATGACATTTAGTACATATACATCAATAGAATAGTCTATTTTAGTTGCCTCTGGTAGTTGATGTATATATATTACAATCAACATCATAGTGAGGGCAAAGATGGGATTGAAAGCCCCTACTATTTGTATATGCTATCGATATTTTTGTTGTAATCACAAATAAAAAACACTGAATGTTCATGCCACAGACATGAATAATCATAAATGACAATTTCTTGAAATGGTATAACTTGTATGCATGTGTGACATAATCCAAAAAGAACTAAAAAAAGATGCAACCTTTCTTCAAATGATATCTGATATATAAACACCAAATGCTAGTTGCAAATGAAAATGACGGGTATTATTATAGCACCATGCTTGTATAGACTGCAAACTAAGTAGAGAGCAACCTCTGAATTTTTTGGTGCTAACAGCAATGTGGGTAGGTGTATCATTACTTGGTGGCTGCAGGAACAAGGGTTCCAAATGTAAGATTGCTCGTAAAACTCTGAAGAAGAAACTTATGATTTTCCTTGACTATTGGAACCATTTTTGGACTGCCGTATTCTGCTGATCGTATATGCTGGTGCTTAAAAATATGGCAACTTGTTCTGAGGTTAGCTTGCTTGCGCAACCATTGAGCTGCACCCAACGGTCGTGATCAAAAAATTCGAAATCAATGGTCAGGATGGCTTAGCTGCCCGCTCTCTTTTTTTAATGGGGCACTGACACACTATTAATGTTAGCCCCTCTCTCCTATTCTTTCTCTTCACGGACCTCAACCTCTCTCCTATGCTCTCTCTTCGCGGACCTCCCTCTCTCTCTTCGCGGACCTCCCTCTCTCTATGTTCAGCAGTAGCGATGGACACGATGGCAGCGATGCAGCAACCATTGAAGCCCCTAGGCTTGGGCATCGCCTCTCCTCTTTATCAGCCATTGAAGCCCTCTCAGCCCACACAGAGGGATGGATACCTCTCTTTGTAGCTGCAGCAGCAGCAGCGCATCCCTCTCTCTCTGTCTATATGCGGCCATTGAAGCCCCTGAGCTTGGGCATCTCTCTCTTTTTAGTAACTATTGAAGCCCTTTGAGCCTACACAGACATAGAAGCCCTCTCGTTCCTCACCATTAGCAACTATTGAAGCCCTCTCATTGGCTCAAAAATCCCTGGCTGGCCTCGCAAATGTAACCCACCCCATCTCTAAAAGTACTCTCTCTCTCTCTCTCTCTCTGTATTTGACTCAGTCAAATACAATCTGTTGTCTACAATTTCCATTGATTTGGGGTTTATTGGGGTTTTTAGACAAAACCATGAGGACCATAGGCATCTCTGTATTGGATGAAATACAAATGCGTCAGATGCTTTTGCATCTCTGTTTTGGATGAGAGTTTCTCATTTGGATCTATATTTCTTGTGAACAATAAAGAGGGAGAGTGGTTACTGTTGTTTTTTGAGGTTGAGGTGGGTTTCTGGACAAGTCTTCCTAAAATTGAATGCGAAATCAAAAAATTGGATCATATAGATTAGAGAGAGAAATAGTGAATTCATTGAAGCTGCATGTTATACATTTTGGAATGTGGGTTTTTTGTTTGTTTGCTTGAAACATTTTATTTGATATGATATAAGATTAATTCATTAGTTTTGAGAGAGAGTTTTTTGTTGTGTTATGATAATTTGGTGAAATGTTAATAATTCCTTATTTACATGTTTAAGACAAAATTAGGTCCATTACACTTGAGCAGCAGATATTATTACAGCACACCATGCCACTTACTCATTTAGTGTTAAAACAAATAAAAAAAGAATGCCAAATTGGTTTTCTACGCAATTTTGCAAGAACCCATGTACTCTCGCATAATACTTTTTTTTCATTGGATAAATTATTTTACTCATTGATTGTTGAGTAAGTTATCTATCATTTGATATATGATAAGATAAATCTCAAGGCAAAAAAAAATAAAAATAAAATACTTTGGTTCAAATAGGTATACAGACATAAAACTGAAACAGTTGAGGGTTGAACCCCAAATGTCAGATCCTAGACTGTGATCTTGCAAAATTTAGTTAAAGATAAGGCTTGGAGAAATGACCCAAGAAAAGAGACTTTTGTTCAAATGGGTCTGCTGCCTGTGAAACTGAAACAATTTTCAGCTGAGGGTTGAACCTCTCCCCCCCCCCCCCACCCCAAAGTATTGGATCTTGGACTATGGTCTTGCAAAATTTAGCCAAATTTGTAGTGTTTTGGTTTGGATACAATGTTAGGGAAGCAGGAAGCATTGCCCATAATTTTTCTTATAATAAATAAAAGAACTCAAAAAAGCATTTCATTGCTAGTGTAGGTACACAACACACTCCAATCCTAGGAGTGACCCACCTTAGTATGGTTCTTGTACATGGAAGCTTAATTTTGGGGTAAGCTAAATATTTTTGGGAGAATTTAAAACCTTCTCACAGAGCGAGTGTGGTGGCGCATGTGCTTCCCCATGAGATCCAAAACTCTTCTTATACATGCATGCTTAAGTTTACAATTTCAGAGAAAGAGAGAGGCTTTTTGGTTGATTAATACTGAAATTACTCATACCAATGTTTAACCACTTTCCATGTTGCTGATTGATTACATTCTAGGCAAGAACCCGCGAAAGATGAGCTATATTGTGGGTTTCGAAAACCACAACCCAAAACATGAGCACCATAGAGCAGCTTCAATCCCTAAGAACAAGATCAAGTACTCTTGCAAGGGTGGGTGGAAATGGGGAGGGACACACCCAAGCCTAACCCAAACACACTTGTGGGGGCAATAGTGGCAGGACCCGACAAGCATGATGGTTTCAAAGATGTAAGAGGGAAACTACAATTACACTGACCCCACTCGCTTTGGTCTGCTTTGGTTACTCTCTCCAGTGAGTCACATTCCATCGACAAGAATACCATCTTCTCTACGGTGCCACCCATGTTCCCTACTCCTCCGCCACCTTTGGCTCCTTGGAAACCTTGAGACAGAGAGAGAGAGATATATAGAGGAACAGAGCCACCACCATCCTTTTTAGGGTGGGGGTGTTTACTTGCTCTTAAGCTAGAAAGAGAGGGGGGCTAGAGAATGACGAGAGGTTACATGGGTTCTCTGATGTTGGGGGTTTGCTTGTTCTTAATCTTTATTGTGTTCATAGTTTTAGGTGCAATATTCTTTATTGTTTCTCACTCTCTATGTGCTCTGTGTGACATATAGAGTGATATTGTATATTTGCTACTACTTTTTGACTCCCCAAAGAGGGATGCTAATGATAAAAGATTTATGAAATCTGTGCTCCTCCTTTTGTGCTTCTGGTTTCAATATTTGCGAACTCTTTTTAAGTCATGGGATTCTCATTTGAGCAAGATTTCTACAAAGATCCAAAAAGGATGCTTAAACTAGAAGATATTAGATTTGATTTGATTTGTAAGCCATTCCAAAGCCGAGCATTTGGAGTCTTTTATCACCTTGATTCTTATGAGAAACTTGTGATCTTGTGCAGTTTAGGCCACTTCGGAAATTTTGTTGTTGTTTTACTATTGCCAGCAGCGATTGCTTGAGATGCACAAGTGCGCTATACATTTGGTATAAAATCTCCTTGGGAGTATTTGTTTTGATCTAAAATTTTAGGATCCGATACAGAATCACTAGAATGTTCTCAGCAAAGAAAACTGGACATTATAAGCACTTAGATTTCACTGTCTAAATATGGGTTGCTTTCCATTCGATCTTGGGACATTGTATTTTTAGGCACTTTACAGAATGCTTGTGAATCCTTTTTTTTTTTTTCTGATGAGGATGGTAGTCTGATCAAAAGGAGGATCCAGGCATTCCACCTTTGAGGGATATGTGGGTGATCTCAATGAAATGAGAATAAAAATTTGCTAAAAAATGCATCTAAAACTCCTTGCTCATTTTTGCCAAAGAAATTCATGTAGCTTGGGCTTATAGTTTAGCAGCCAAGAGCAGGAAAAAGTTTATATAAGGTGCCAACCTTATATTGTAGACGTAAGGCGCACTCGAAAAATCTATCTGAAAGGTTGTTCAGATATCAAAACCCTATAGTTAATCATCTTGACCTTGAGATTGTACATTTAACAAATTGAAAGACTCACAATTAGCTAGACGGGCTCTAGTGATAATATATAGCATCTAATAACAATTTGAAATACATTCAACTCATCTAAAAACGTTTCAAGAAACAGGTTGACAAATTATTGCCATAGTGATAATACATTGCATTTGATAACTATAATATTACATACAAATTCATCAACTACCTGCCAAATGGGGTAGTCCATTCAATTAAAAAATTGTTCATATAAAGTTCAGTAGTCCTGCCCATTATCAAATAATGTTTCGTTCCTTGTACCCAATCACCTTACATATCACCTAACAACCCAAAAAGAAGTGAAAAGAGTACAATGGCATACAACCTATATCTTTTTTTTGAGTGAATAACATAAAACCTACATCAATAATGCCAATAGTTTAACAACAAACTTTTCAAAAAAAAAAAAAAAAAGCAACAGAGCCCCTCCTTTGAAGTTGTTCCATATGAATTTGTTCTCTCTGCCTGAGACATAAAACACATTTTGATGAGTGACAATAGTATTCCAAATGAAATTACAAATATGAACTTACATGCATTTACAAATGTTTCAAAATGAACATGCAAACATGACTTATAAACAATTGCTTCTTACCATCAACTCACATATGCTGCCTTCTTATGGGCCTGAAGCTTATAAAGTATTTTGTCCTTAGCGTTGTAAGAGGAAGATAAAATTGTAACAAATAGATACTACATACTTATGATATAAACTCAATGCAACAGGGGTGAAAAAACCCAATGGCCAAAAACAAAACTGCAACAAAAAAGCAAAAAGGGAAAGAAAATTGGAGAGAAAGACAATTGAAAAAATAAATAAATGTTTGCAACAGATGTATTCTAATTTCCAAGAGTAAGGGATTCATTATATGGTGCATCAGATGCCACATGAAGATATTGAACAGAAATAAGAAACTCAATTTATTTCAATTTTAATAATACCAATCATGCATTCATCAGGGCACAAGTAACATGTTAGTTTGTAATTTTGTAGCGTGCACTAGCAGCATGCATTCATCAAGCCGCAAGTAACATTTTCCGCAATTGTAGTTCGATACAAATTTAAACATCAGCCATCCTGTCCTGAAAAAGGAGTACTGATGATAATTACAAATATTATACAAGTATCCTGATACTCATTCCCCTTCAATGGTATCCATTTTTGTTTCCATTGTTACTATGAAAGAATTGGTAAGCCATTAAACAGTCCTGCCTTGTGTTCCCAAATAAGCACATTTCTAACAAAATTCAGCCAATATTTTATACCACATTCATGTAATATTCATTTAGGGAATAAGGTAGCTATGGACGGGGAAGAGTATATACAAAGACATATATATTCACAGATATTTGCATCTACAAGATATCTTTATTGGGTATCTTTATCACCAATTACATTTTAGAAAACTGGAAGTGCATGACCATCCATTCACCACAATGGAGTCAAGAACCCATGATGCTCTCAATTTTTAATACCCGTAAAGATACATGAGAAAAAAGAAGAAGAAAGGTATATGGAAGTAAGGAAGCCAAGAGACTTCTCCAATGGAAAACCTCAGCCAAACAACTCGAGTCATCTGATTTCAACTAGTCACACCAGAGCTTGTTCTCAATTGAATTTTTTCACAGAATTGATCTTAGATCAGTTCTTTAGAACCAATTTGACATTCTTTTTTATTTGTTTTTAACACTAAAAGAGTAAGTGACATAGTGTGCTGTAACAATATCTGCTGCTCGCATGTAATGGACCTAATTTTGTCTTAAACATGTAAATAAGGAATTATCAATATTTCACCAAATTATCATAACACAACAAAAAAAACTCTCCCAAATCTAATGAATTAATCTTATATCATATCAGATAAAATATTTCAAGCAAACAAACGAAAAACCCACATTCCATAATATACAACATGCAACTTTGATGAATTCACTATTTGTCTCTCTAGTCTATATGATCCAATTTTTCGATTTCGCATTCAATCTTAGGAAGACTAGTCTAGAAACCCACCTCAACCTCAAAAAACAACAGCAACCACTCTCCCTCTCTATTGTTCACAAGAAACACAGATCCAAACGAGAAGCTATCTCATCCAAAACAGAGATGCGAAAGCATCTGACGCATTTGTATCTCATCTAATACAGAGATGCCTGTGGTCCTCATGGTTTTGTCTAAAAACCCCAATAAACCCCAAATTGATGGAAATTGTAGACAACAGATTGTATTTGACTGAGTCAAATACAGAGAGAGAGAGAGAGTACCTTTAGAGATGGGATGGGCTACAGTTGCGAGGTAATAGTTGCTAATGGTGAGGGACGATAGGGCTTCTATTTCTGTGTGGGCTCAGAGGGCTTCAATAGTTACTAAAAAGAGAGAGATGCCCAAGCTCAGGGGCTTCAATGGCTGCATATAGACAGAGAGAGAGGGATGCGCTGCTGCTGCTGCAGTTACAAAGAGAGGTGTCCATCCCTCTGTGTGGGCTGAGAGGGCTGCAATGGTTGATAAAGAGGAAAGGCGATGCCCAAGCCCAGGGGGCTTCAATGGCTGTTGCATCGCTGCTATCGCATCCATCGCTACTGCTGAACATAGAGAGAGGGAGGATCCGTGAAGAGAGAGAGGGAGGTCCGGGAAGAGAGAGAGAATAGGAGAGAGGTCCGTGAAGAGAGAGAGGGAGGTCCATGAAGAGAGAGAGAATAGGAGAGAGAGGCTAACATTAATAATGTGTTAGTGGATGTGCTAGCGCCCCATTAAAAAAAGAGTGCAAGCGGCTAAGCCATCCTGACCATCGATTTCGAATTTTTTGATCACGACCGTTGGACGCAGCTCAATGGGGTGCGAGAGAGGGCTAACCTCAGTTTTTCCCATATATATATATATATATATATAT